TATATCATTACATTAAAAAATATATAGTTTAAACTCACCTCATTCCACCTGATGTTTTTTTTAAATTCTATACTGTAGATATATTTCTGATCACAATTTCTCATCATATATTCACTTTCTCATGGGGCTTCGCATTTCTTAATCTCAAAACATAATACGTATTTCATCACATACAACAAAATTGTTATAAAAATGTGAAAAAAAATACAATCAATTGCTATCTATATATTGTTTTGGTTTTTTTCCCCGTTTTTATTTATGTTCAGTTTAAGTAATTTAAAAACAATATAAACGTATTTAAGATTATTCTAAAGTAAGAAATCAACAATATCAAATACCTTATCATGAAGAAAACAATAATATGATGAATAAAAACAGATAATCATATAGGCCTAATTTCCTTATGTTCTTTTTCTCATTAGGATTAATTCCATAGCTTGTGATATGCCACTGTCTACACAAGGCTTGAGTAATCCAGACCAGAGTGCTAGAGCCTAGTGAACACATTACCCCTAAGCTACATCTCCGCTTGTATCATATTAGGCTACTGTACATGTTCCATCAGCCAATGAAAAATTGAATGCGCAAAATGTTTAATTTTAAATTAATAAGAAATCTAGTATTTTTAAATGGATCATCCAAAATGTCAAGTTATGAGAGACAATCATTTTTTTTATTTGTTGATAGACCTACTGCATATGTAAACTTGTTAATTTGAATGGATTTTTTCCCTTTTTTTCACTTTGAATTTTTTTTTAAGCAACATATGATCTGAAGTAAAAATATCCTCTTTTTATATTAGTGAAACTTACAAATTAATCTTGTTTGTTTGTAAATTTTAGTATAATGATACTTGATTTAATATCTGGTAAAACAATGTGATGTTCATTTCCATTTAATAATTTGTTGACTTCAAAATATTTGTTTAGGTGGTGAAGATGAGTTTGGCAAACACTGTTCCATGTGCCAATCTTACCGGTGCTGGTTGTTTTAGTATTGACTATTTCATATGGGTGATTTTAGCTCATGAATATAATATGCATACTATTTTAGGTCGTGCTTGTGAAATGTCTATTAAACGAATCAACTACAGTATAAAACTTGCATTGTGAGTTCTTAATTGGAATGTGAGGCTTTGGAAATGAGGTCATGACGAATGAAGTTAGAATGGAGCGTCGTTGACGTAGAGAGGAAGATTTGTAAAATGAGCAGTGGAAGAATTTTATTTTTTTTTGTGGGGGGTGAGGGTGGCTTAGTGTACATGCTTCTTGTTTTTTTTTTTCAGCACATAACATAATCCATCAATCACTGCACCAATTCTTCTAGAACAAAGTTCTGTTTAATGACACATACCTTTTAAAAATTATTGTTTATTTACTTTCATCATAGAAAGTTAATTTTACTGTTCCCTGCTTTCATGGATGTTGTAGGCGCAACATCTAATGAATGATATGCTAATATCGTACGTATCCACAATATGTGGAAATTCCCTTTACAAGACAAACACACAAGCAAATGCCCCCCCCACCCCTTCAACACCATTTGGGGGAAAAATACAAAGTAATTAAAAATCACCTCATATCGCCTTATTTTGTGCTTTCCCTTCCCGCTTCACTTCGCATCCCCATCACCCTTCCGATTTTAGGACTCCAGCTATGCCATGACTTCACACAATACTTTAAATAAACCATAGATGAATTTCCTAGATGCATATACAAATTCTCATAATGATGATTATGTAGGAGAGTTGTTTTTTGAGAGGAGTGAATCCTGTCATAACATCAGGAATTGAACCAAAAATCCCGACCTGGAAGTCCTATTGTGAAGTTAACTATCTCACCAACCTGCAGCGGGCTGTACCTCCAACTCCAAGTGATTTTTCTTCGGTAGTGATCTCAACCGGATTTTTGCAACCCTAGCCTAATAGACATTTATAAATAATGTCATAATATATTTATTTATTTTCTTTTCACTTGTTACTGTCATGGGCGTCGATCAGGGGGGACGCGTCCCCCCACTTTTCAAAGTAGGGGGAACATCATATCGATTGTCACCCCTCCCCCACTTTTCACCAATCTTCTATAATTAAATCCCCACTTTTAAAAGAGAATGGAAAGAATAACAATTACGCATGACTCATGAATTTTGTCTGTTCACTTTTCTAAGTGCGGTTCGTATTTTCCGGACCAAAACCGAGTAAAAACGGAATTGTTTATACATTTCGTAACCATCTCGGAAACCACTAGATCGATTTTATGGGTGCAACGGTTATCAAAGGCTAAATTTATTGTGAAAACAATGTACTGAACGTTGTTAAAATTGGAAGCCCATATACTTATTAGGCCAATATTTTTACAAACTCAAAAGCGTACAATTTCTACTATAAACGATTTATTCCTTTTGTATATTATTATGACCCGGTACGTTATGCTAGTGTTTAATATTATCTACATACATAGGATTACTGTTTTTTTCTTATTTCAAAAAATTATAGTTTTTCCATTTAAAAAAAATGGAAAAAAAAAAAAACAAAGGAAAATTATAATAAGAATTGAGGTCTGAGAGTGCCATTTCCGACAATCTAGGTGTCATAATCAAAAATTTTCTTTCCTCAGCCCCAACCAATGTGGGGATGATCTACTTTCCCAAATTGTGCAAGTCTCTCCCTGTCCCCCCCCCCTAATTTGCTTTCCTGGTGCCGCCACTGATAATGATAAATTAAGTAAATCACATTCATGTTTGTGAAATCAAAATGCTAACTAATGTTTTGTGTGCTCCCTCCCTAGTCCTGTTTGATCGTAAATTAGACGGTGTTATTTTCACTCACAATAGTGTAGTCACAATATTATTTACACAAAAGTGAAATTTAAATAAAGGAGAAAAGCAAAAACTTAACCTATTGATTGATTTTAAAAATACTGTACATGCAAAAAGACTAAATTAATGACTGTTTTAAGTTTATCTTTTTTGTTTTTCATGGTTCGAATTTTGAATACGTTACAAGCTCATCAGTAGATAATAAATCATTATTTTTTTGAAGGTTAGTTTGCACGAAATACATAAGCAGGCATAATTATGACTAAAAGGATAATTTAATAAACTTTTTTATGATGAGTATTTCAGTGGCAGATTCAAGGGGCCCAGCCGGCCCACCATCCCTATTTTTTTTTTCGAAATTAAAAGTGGAAAACAAATTAAAATTATATTCAAATTCAGTCTGAGAATGCCATTTCCGATCAACTAGAGGTGCCATAATCATAAATTTTCTTACCTAAGCCCCAACTATGGTGGGGCTGATGTGGTCTCTCCATCTGTAAAAGTCCCTCTCTGGGCCCAGCTCTATTTCAAATTACTGGATCCGCCACTGGATATTTTGAAAATTTCGTATGGTAATAAATGTTAATTGCATTGCTTAAAATCAATTAAAAGGTACGGTGCGCCAAAGCTTCCGAAGGCTTCGCCCCCTGGTCCCCAACCAAGGCTTGGGCCTACGGCCCAAGGCTCATTTTTTTCATTTCGTTCCCCCCACCCCACTTTCAACCACGGATCGACGCCCTTGGTTACTGTCCATTGAATTTTCTTTCATTGTTCCAGACCCACCGTAGGCCTAATGTGACGCATTCGGTGTGAGAGATATTCGGGGTCTTTCTCGCGCTTAAGAAACAAAAACACAGGAAAATGTAACTAGGCCTATTGAATGAACTGCTTATTTAAAAGCATTAAATAAGTTATTAAGTTTAGCCAGAAACAGATAAAAAAATTGTGGCTGATTTACAGACATTTTACTACTAGAAAATGTTTTAATGTTGATTACCAGCCGAAATGGTCCTGCAAAAGAATACAGGAAATGCTTCCGTTAACTGATGAGCAATATTTTTTTTCTCAGATTTTTAATAAGTTAATAACTAATTCAAAATATAAATTAAGAATTTTAATTATGGACTTGATTTTTTTAAATATTTTTTTTAGCTCATAACTGTGTATATTATGTACGAAACCCACACCTATCACTCGGGGAAGGGCAAAGTTTCAGAACAAAATTCTCATGCCAGAATCATATAACTTGGAATCTCTGTTCTCATCTGCCAAGTTTATTTCCTTCTTCTGTTATAGGCCTAAGCAATCTCTAAACGCTCGTACAGTATTGTAAACGAATGTATACGTTGTTAAATATTAGTTTTAAATAATGAATAGAGGCTATGTGATATTCAATACGTGTTGTTGATGCGAGACCACATTTGAGAACTTGTATAAACAAAATAAATTGGTAGGCCTATTTACAATGGCCCGTCATTCGAAACACAGCTATTCCACAATGAGCGTTCTTGTATAAAATAGGCCTATATGAAGTCCACAGGAGTGGGAGAAATATTCGTATTAAATAAATATAGTTTATATTTAAAAAAAAAACTATGGAATTTCCTCCATAAGCATCGTTCCAATGCCTGCGGTAATAATGAGGAAAGCGCTTTGAGACTTAGTTGTGTAGAGCGCTATATAAAAACCTACTTATTATTATTATTAATTATTATTGTTATTATTATTATTTTTATTATTATTA